TTAAACCAGGAACCATTCGTTCTACGATAGCCTTCATTTCCTCTCTATCATAGTTTCTTTCATCGTATATTAACCTATTGATACCAGCTGTGTTGTAATCACCCTCTGGCAAAGGCATTCCATCATAATTCGAAAGAGAACCACCATTGTTTCGCAGTATAGTCTCAATTGCATCCAATGTGTAATTTTTGAGCTATTCATCAGAGAGGTCCAATTCTGCAAAAATGATCACATCATACTTATATAAATCCAATACTGCATATTCACAGAAAGTATTATGGTATACATAATATATATAGTTAGAGACAGTTTTTTTTCAAAATAGAAGAAATACCTGGATTGTTTTTAAATAATCTTCTTCTGTAAAGAATATCATCAGATAGCAAATTCCAAGTTTCTTCCCAAACTCCAAATGGATAAATTAGGCTATCAGTTAATAGCATAACGCAGAAAAGTTTCCGAAGGAAGTCACCAGAACCCCACATGCTTGCTTCATTAATAACATCTATATATTCTCTATCATCATCTAGTAAACCCAATGCATAACACGCATCTTTGTATGTAGGATGTAAAACACCATCAACTGTCTTCAAATCATCAAACCCCTTAGGACATTTGTGTCGGTTGAGTAGAACACTAAGGTAGTACAATTGGCCACATTTCAGAGGTACATAGATTATTCTACCAACGGCTAACCTATTTTTCTGTTGCTTTGGTTTCCATTCAATATTAGTACGATCGTAACCAAACATTGTAGGAAACTCAGCATATGTTAGATTTTCAGCTTCTGGATACTTATTGCAAGCTTCAAAAAATGCTAATAACATTGAGCTCTGTACGGACCTGCGATTTAGAACAGTTTCAACTGGATCATCATCATCAAAAATTACTGATTGCTCGTTTTCTAGATGAAAATAGAGTTTTTTTCCACTGGAGTTGTCCTAAAATGGATTAGAAATGCTAGCAAACGCCATGTAGCTTCGCATGCAGAAACATATCTACATAACCATAAATCAGTAGACATTTAGTTTGTAATCAAAACTATCTCAACTTATAAAACATGCCTACAATCTCTATCCAAATAAATATTACCTGCAAGCGAAGAACTCCTTAATTTCATCTATATCCTTGCCGTTTTCATCTACATTTCCGCATGCTACAGAATCTGCGCCTTGATTTACATCATTTTCAATAGTAGCTAGAACACAATCAGGTCCTTTGTTGATATTTGAAAAGGTATTTGATTGACCTTGCCTGAGTACACCATTCAACATTGATGTGAGCTCTATATCGCAATGATAGCTCTCTATTATAAGGCACAACAAAACTGTTGTCAATTTTTAGACCATTCTTCTCAACAAATGCGTCAGTCTTCCTTCTCATACAATGTGGAAAACCTTTGTTGTCAATGGTAGTTCTTTCACAATATTTCTTTGGAAACTGCTTAGAACACTTCCCATTGACCATACATGGACTACTTTTGTTAATCACTCCGCAAGGTCCATGTATAATGTTTTGCTTCACTAATTCATACAAAGAAGGATCAATATTATTGTCAGGAATCTCAGCAGAAATAACCTTATCAATAGATACAGCAGTAGACAATTTGTTTTTTTCAGCCATCCATAGTAGGATATGTGCATGTAGAAGACCTCTTTTTTGATAAACATATTCACAATTAGTAAACACTAATGGTAATGGATATTAAAATAGTGCATACAGTGTATACCTGATTGATTTATCTCTATTGGTTATCTCATTAGCCGTAACATGGATATACAGCTGAGAGAACTTTGGTTTCTCATTCCTTTGAGGAATCAAAGAACCAATTCAATGATAATTTTCACCATGTAGTTGAAATACGGGTGGACCACGACCCTTGTTTATATCGTAATTTATCTTTCCACCAATAGATGTAAAAGAAAAAATCATGTTGTAAGCTCTGATATTCTCACGAAAATGGCGACAAATTTCATCATCACTGGAGAAGAGATATATCAAAAATGGAGGAGGTTGGTTAAGTAATGGTAGCTTAACTTTTCCCTGCAAACAACATATAGTAAATTTATATGTTGCACTCTTCTTCTTTTTCTCAATTCGTTCATTAAACCACATCCTTGCTTTGCAGTGTGTGCATTCATACATCGGATCACCATCATCATAATATCCTGAGGTAATATAACATTCGATATAATTAAACATTTAATCCAGATAATAATATAACGAAAAAAGTATCAATAGAAGTGTAATATAAGAGACATAACCATTTTCCAATATCACAGGTTTACGTTCATGATCATAATCATCTGCTATAGTATCAGTTCCATGAGGACTTTCATTAAACTTAATCCCTTTCATTAAACGTTTCCTGTTATGTCTTGCATTTCGCTGTCTCTCGAACAAAGATTTAGATAGTTGATTATGTCTTTCTCTAGCAATGATTTTGTCAACAGAAGAGTTCCACCACATAATGACTTAGATTCAGAGTTAAGATTACATTAATATGTATTCAAGGATAACAAAAATTAAAACTAAGAGAAAAAATAATAATTACTAATTAAGATAAGGATACATGACTTCTCTATTCCATCAACTGTGTCGGAGCTTGCTGTATTCTTGTTTGATTTCTCTGGTGAAAACATATAACCAAAAGTATTGAAACAAAATAAATGTTATATATTAAATCAGATACACTTTTAGATATAAATACAAATCAATAACTTTACTTGGACCACTATGTGCTGGTTTAGGAAGACCGGAATGCTGCGGTTGTGAAACATGAGTTGTTCGAGACTTACTAACAACAGATGGTGGCGTCGCATAGGTTGTATTTGAGGTTGTACATTCAGATACATTAGTATCATTTGATGAAAGGATACCATCTGATAATACAATTCAAAAACAAACAATGAGTTAATAATTTTTATAGATAAAATGTTATCAATTCATTCTACTTTTAATAAATGTAAATATTCTTACTTGGCTGTAAAGATACAGATTTAGGAATACCATAATCTAGTCTCCGTGAATTAGGATCTGTTCGAGCTTTGCTAACAACAGATGGGCGTGTCACATACGTAATATTAGAGGTAGTGGTTTCATTCCTATTAGTATCACTTGATGATTGGATAACACCAGTACCATGAATAACGTTGCTTGCTAGGTTTAGATCATAAATTGTTCTATTACGTTTTGCAATTTTAGGCCGTGAAAATTGAGTTTCATATATGATGTTACCAAACCTAATGCCTGTAAATATTATATATGTTAGTATTGAATGTATAAACATATAAACTTACTATATATAAAAGCAAGAAATGAAAAATGGTAGATGAGATATAGGTAACCCGTTTCGTCAGAAGATGGTGATCATTGCAAAGGTCTCTTTATAGGTGGCCTGTTTTCTTTTAATGAACTTGGTAATGCTATATGAAGACAAACAATATCATAACATATAACATATAAGATAATTCATAAAACGATTTTTAAATAAAACATAGTTCACATACACTGTTGAGTTTTAGGTGTGTTTGACCGTATAGAGAAACAACCAGAGTTGCTGACATCTCTAAGAATTTCATCTATATATATAAACAAAAAAAGACAACACAATTTAAAAATAATTCGAAGTATAAAACTATTGAGTAAAGCAAATAATAAATAAAAACTCACTTGAAGTAGATCTGTCAGATGTAATCCGAGATGAACTCTTCACCAAATTGTTTGAATTGCTTAAATCTCTAAATATCATATCAAATGCACCAGAAATAGGCTTTGTGGATTGTGTTTGGCTGGTAGATGCTGTCTTCTGTTTTTTTTTTGAATTCTGTTTTCATCATTTTCGTATCCATAACATTTTTTTTTTAACTATGCATTGCATAAGAAAGTGAACATAAGTGTAAATAGAGGTAAACGTGAACACAAAGAATGTTATGAAGCGGAAAACTTTATTTATATGAATGAATGGTTGTTTGTTCGAAAATTCAAACTAAATGTGATCCCTTATGAATAAGAAAACAAATATTCTACATTTAAATTCATATATCTAAATCCACAAATATAGATCGTAAATATAGAGAAAGAATCAATTTAGTTATAAATTTTCAAACTTAAAAGGATAATTATAGTTAAGTAAAGTAAGTAATACGGTTAAAAAATATAAGTTATAATACATTATTCATTTACTGCTAATTGATGGACTTTGTTTTTGGTTAGTAGTTATACGGATCTTTGGATATATAGATTCGTATAAGTATATTTAATTTCTTACAAATTTTTAAAATAAATTTTATAAATACATAAAAGTAATACATTAAAAATTGCTTATAAGCTAATTATGTTTGAGTACTATTTAATATATTGGAGAAGATTTCATTTGAATGATGATCATAAGATTTCTAAGACAAATTATAAAATTACTAAAACGATTTAGTACTCAAACAAAAAACTAATGGTGTGAAAAAATGAACGACATCATAATATTAATAAAAAATAACCATCCGATTACAAAAAAAAATCATCCAAAAGCAAAGTAGAATAACAAACCATGATAACAGAAACAATTATTCAGACGATTAAATCAGAACAAAATAGTTAAAATAACTGATTTCGGTTCTTAAATCATGGTTTCTCTGTCTTCACGGTCTTAAGGGGCACAATACTTGGATTAGTCTCAACAGTTTTCTCATCCTTAACTTCTTCTTTGCAGCAGAATACTCATCAGTATCCTTAATCACTTCCATCTTTTCATTGCTTTTGCGCTTAGAAGTAGGTGTAATTTCAGCATCATCATCATCCATTATAAAATTACTAAAACGATTTAGTACTCAAACAAAAAAACTAATGGTGTGAAAAAATGAACGACATCATAATAACCATCCGATTACAAAAAAAAAATCATCCAAAAGCAAAGTAGAATAACAAACCATGATAAAAGAAACAATTATTCAGACGATTAAAACATAACAAAATAGTTAAGATAACTGATTTCAGTTCTTAAATCATGGCTTCTCTGTCTTCACGGTCTTAAGGGGCACAGTACTTGGATTAGTCTCAACAGTTTTCTCATCCTTACACTTCTTCTTTGCAGCAGAATACTCATCAATATCCTTAATCACTTCCATCTTTTCATTGCTTTTGCGCTTAGAAGTAGGTGTAATTTCAGCATCATCATCATCCATAATCATTAGAGGAACCTACAACATATTACTTAATCTGTAAGAATAAAAGTATTATATAATAGTACATATGAATGTAAGAAAACAGAATACATAAATATACCTTTCCATCAAGAGTATTGTGAGCTTTTTCTTCTATCTTGATACTTGGAGTGCTCTACGAAAAGTGAAAGTAATGAGTTGTAAAAAATAAAGAATTAGTGTATAAATAATTTTGATAAGAGAATGATATATCTGTACCTGAGGAGTAGAGATTTTAGAAAACTCCTTAACCACATCACTTTGTGTAATTATACTGATGACCTTGTATGTGTGACTATTGAAAACAATATTTGAACTTGCAATTGCAATCTTGAAGAGAAACGTTTTACCACAAATATTGCTCAAAGCCAATGGCAAGACATTTGGATCCTGAATCTAAACAAAGAGGAACTTAACAAAATTTAAATAGATCAAGCCAGAAACGGTCATGACAAATGCAGTAGAAATATGAACCTCATTAACAGACTGAGTTAACTGAGCAGCAGTTTGGTTGACAACTTCCTTTGCCTCTTGATCAAATAAGAGGAATTTGGTTTCACCAGTATTATCCATGACACGAAAAGTCAACATGAACCTATCATAATTTGAAAGTTAAACTTTATTAGAAGTGAAAACTTTACTAGAGCACAAATACAATAACAGACTTACGATGGATAAACATTCTCAACATCCTCATTGCATTTTTTGCACTGCCACAATTGTTTTCCCAGGATATAGTTCTTTTAAGTAATTCATATCATGAGGGAGAACCTTTTTAGCACAGGCTCCACATGACATGTAATACCAGCCAAACTTAGTGTCTATAGACATAATTGTGGCCATGGTAACACATTTGACAACCTTTGAAAGTGCATAATGATATTAGAATCAAATTTAGGTTATATTAATCGAACTGACAGAATATATAATTACCTCAGAAGCAGCAATTATCTCGCTTATAGTCCTTCGAGGACTATGCAAGAAGAAATCGTCCCTTACTGATACAGAATTGACAATAGTCAACTGATTTGGATGGGTATAGGTCAGGGTTAAACCATATTTTGACAATCTGTATAGATTATATTACATAATTATCAGAATACAAAACATGAGAAATGAATAAAAACATGGAGATAAGTCGTTTTACCTCTCTTTAAAAGCCAAACTCTCTGGGAACACTGGATCAGTAATGACCATCGAACAGTTGTAGCAATTGCTAACACTCCAAACACCTTGATAAAGTTTTAACTTTTCAAACCGCAAAACAGCAACGATCATAGCATCATTGGCATGTTGAGCCACACTTTCAAGATTTTCAGCAAATTGTCCCCAAATAACACAATTAAGTCGAACATCTCTACATTAAACATAATAAGTAAATTAATGAAAAAGGATACTAAACACAAATAGTAAAGATATAGAGCATTAGTGATAGATTATTCATGTAAATGCTAACTCTGTATCACGAATCTCCATAGAAAGCCTCTTTGTCTGTCTCTTTCCAACATTCAAGATCTCTACATCCCCAATGCTCACAATTTGTCCAATAGCATCTGAGGTAAAAAAATCATGTTAGTAATCTAGAATAACGCACACAAACTATATATTCAATATATAATTTAGTAATTAAAAAACTTGCCTATCAAGAAATCTGGATTCATTTTGCCTTCGTGAATATCACTAAACTTGACGAACTTGAAACCTAGGATTCTTGGATCCATTGCTTCTGCTGGTTTGACAGATGTTGTTGATGCGAAAAGGATTTTGTAAACGTGAGGGCTTATCCTGAACTTACCACCATTATGAGCCACTTGAAAATTTGTGATAATTCTAGAGGCACCTTCCTCTAAGAGATTTTCATTTTTCTTGATGAACTCCTTCTTCAAAGTTACATGCATGGTTTGATTCTGTGTATATATAAAAGAATATGAATGCTTTAAAGTTTGTAGAAATGCTTAAAAGTAACATAGATAGAAATGACAGTGGTAAAATATATAGATTAGTAGAAATGCTTAAATGTAACATAGATAATATACCTTCTCATCAACAACAACCATTTCCAACGTCTCTACACCATTCAAGTACGGTTTCCACACCTTCAATATCTTCACATAAACTCTCCATTGAGTTTTGAAGGGCTTCACGGAGTAGAGATCGATGAAAGAAGACATAATAGCAGGATGAGAATGAGATTCAGAAATGTATTGAAATATTGGTGAAACGTACATATACATATATATATATATAAGGTATTAAGAGAACATCGTATTGGTAGGTTAAATATTTCAAATTTAGAACTTTCTTCTTGTTAATCTAATCCAAGAATCTCAGATATTATTCGTTTAGGAATAAATATATCCCTTCCGCGATTTGAGTTACTGATATGGATCTTCATTTAGTTGTTTAAAGAATATAGGGTTTAGGTTTTCAATGTAGAATATGCAAAAATATAGATACTTACTTAGTCCGTTTGAAGTTTAAATTATTGTTATTAGTTGTTGATTAAATTCCTGAAGGAAAATATGTATGTTTCGAAAATATAGGAAAAATGTTTTCAATGTGGAGATATGCGAAGATATAGGTACTTTCTTAATTCGTTTGAATTTGAAGTTATTGTTATTAGTTGTTTAGAAAATTGCTCTATGAAAATATATATGTTTTGAAAATATAGGAACCAAAGAATTCAATGTAGAATATGCGAAAATATAGGTACTTTCTTTATGCGTTTCAAGTTTAAATCATTGTTTAGAATTTTAAAAAATGAGTAATACTGAAGATTTTTTTAAAAAATGATATTAAAGTAATTGTTGATGCTTATAAACGAATTAGCTAAATGACTGACTAATATAAGAATGCTTATACGATTGTGAATAATGTATAACGTAATGTAGGAATAATGTATAACGTGAATTATGAATAACTTAATCTCCTTAATAATATTATTTTAGAAATGTTTATTTTGTTTTTCAGTTAACTCAAAATTAAAATTATGTTCATTCAACTTGTATATAAAATTATGTTCATTCAACTTATATATAAAATAATAATTAATAAGAGAATATATACATAATACGAAAAATAATATTTTTTCAATAAAGATGAGAATAGAATTAATATTTGATAAAATTATAGATGAAAATATACAGTTAAATGTGTGCATTAAAAATATATGAAGAACACGTATTTGAAAAATTAATTGCAGTTAAATGTGTTTTAGGAAATAACGTTGTGTTTGGCTATAGAAATAGTAGAAAAATTAAAATTAAACGAATTAATAATGTAGCTAAATACCAACTTTAATTCTGGAGCTTCCAAATGTCCAATAATGTTTTTACTTTAATATATTAGAAATATGGTTTATTTTGGTCAAGTCGGTTTTATTTCGGTTCATACCGGTTTAATACCGGTCGAACCAGAAATTATGTTCAGATATTTTGTTACACTAGTTAGACCATCTTCTATACTGGCACCCTAATTTCAGGTATTGCAGACTCTCAGAATCGGCTCTGCTCTCATTAGTTTAAGTATGAGGCTTTGCTCCCGGAAGTGCCTACGCTCTCGCCGTCGTCACCTTTCGGTGGAAGCGGAGCCAATGATCTTTAACTACCTGTTCGATCGAGCCACATACGCGCGATGATGAGCCTCTTGAGCGCTAATGTTAACCACTTTTCATCATATTTCCCTTTTTGATTTTCTTTTCCTTTGGGGCTCTGATGATTCGTTTGTTCTTTGGGGCAGATTTTTCATCATCTGTCTGAGAAAAGGCGAATTTTAGCTCTCTCTGTCTCTGACGCAATTCCCCATCAGACAAATGATTTGCTCAAGAAAACTTAAATGTTATAATTTGATTATAGTTTTGGAAACTTTTGTTCAATGCATAGTTGGTAGAATCATAGTTTGAGTAATGAATTAGAATCTTAGAGAGAGAGGTCTAGCCGTCTAGGCTTTGAATATGTTAAATCTTGAAACCATATTCTATCTTTCTTCTTAGCTATTTGCAACCACAAATGTCTGAATGGTTATTAGTTTATCACATCAATATAGGATAACACGCTAAGTAAATTGTGGGCCTAAACCTTTTTCTCTGTTTGTGCCGTTAAAAGAAGAGAAACAAATGATGAAAGCGCTCAATTTTGTGAAAAAAAGTTTGTGCCTTTGTGGTGCTCAATTCAGCTTTCTCTTAATTGTGTGATGTGAGTTGTATCTTGTTTTGATCAAGACTGTGACTTTTGTGGTGTAAGTATATTCAAAACTAAACCATTTTAGATTTCCTGCTGTATGGAATTATTGGTGCTGATATCTCAATTAATTTGAGAATTCTTATCAGAAACTATTCTAAGATAATAAAGTGGTTTCTTTTTCAATCTCATAGCGTCATTGGTGCTGAGATCTCAATTAGTTTGAGAATTCTTATCAGAAACTATTCTAAGATGAGAAAGTGGTTTCTTTTTTCAATCTCATAGCGTCATTGGTATTCTGAATTGGGACCTTTCCCCAACCTTTGTGTTTTGGCAGTATTGTTCATGACAATCACTTGCAACAACCTAGGTTCCAAAAATCAGTCGGAGTTTAACTAAATATTGTAAATTCATGGAGGCTGGCTTTGTTTGGATCATACAGCCACTTGATTGATTATTACTCTTTTTGTGTCATCATCATGCTTGAGACTTGGGAGAGAGAGAGGAAGAATCATCACAAGTTCTGAAAAAGGACAAAAACTTTTCTGATGCAACTCACGTTTTTCCCTTCACAAGCTCCAAAAGAGTTTACTTGGGAAACCAAAAAACTTGACGAATGCAAAACCGATTTTATAAGCATAAGACCAAAGCCACTTCTTCTTCTTCTTCTGCCTCCTTGCGTGTATTTTTGAGTTACTCTTGTTTTGAGAGAGAGAGAGACAAAAAATGTCTGCTTGTTTGTGTCTTGTGTTCCTGTTCTTCATTAGTTTTGCAGAAGCAACGTATCCTCCAGGAGGTTTCCACCATTTTTCTTCTCTAAGACAAAACAAGAAGGCCTCTAAGTCAAAATCAGAGTTACCTTTTGAGACTCTCTACTTCCCTCAAAATCTTGACCACTTCAGCTTCAGACCAGAGAGCTACAAAGTCTTCCACCAAAAGTACCTTATCAACAGCCGGTTCTGGCGTAAAGGTGGCCCCATCTTCGTCTACACCGGAAATGAAGGAGACATCGACTGGTTTGCTTCCAACACCGGTTTCATGTCTGATATTGCTCCCAAGTTCGGGGCTCTTCTTGTCTTCATTGAAGTATGAGCTTTTACAAACTACATAATCTCATCTTTAGTTTAAAGAACGACACTAAATACGTGTATAATGGTGTTTTATTTGTTGCAGCACCGGTTCTATGGAGAATCAACGCCATTTGGGAAGAAGTCGCATAAGTCGGCTGAGACATTGGGTTACCTGAACTCACAGCAAGCGTTGGCTGATTATGCAATCTTGATAAGAAGCTTGAAGCAAAATCTTTCGTCCGAGGCATCTCCTGTGGTTGTATTTGGTGGCTCTTATGGTGGAAGTAAGAGCTCATACCAACCATTTTTTCAATCAGTTGATCATTACTCATTAGTAATTATTACTCATCAGGTCTCCTAAACTATGTTCTGTTGTGTGTCATGTCTTGAGACAGTGCTTGCAGCGTGGTTCAGGCTCAAGTATCCTCACATAGCAATAGGTGCATTGGCATCCTCCGCTCCAATTCTGCATTTCGATAACATTGTGCCATTGACGAGCTTCTATGATGCCATTTCTCAGGATTTCAAGGTCCTGTATGCCCCGTTTCCCAACAAATTTCGTACAAATGTGATGTTACAAGTAACTTATCATGAACTATTTGTTACAAGCAGGACGCAAGTGTTAACTGTTTCGAAGTCATCAAGAGAAGCTGGCAAGAGCTGGAGGCAGTTTCCAACATGAAACATGGCTTGCCAGAACTCAGCAAAAAGTTCAGAACTTGCAAGTAAATTATACTCTAAAGCTTGTCTTCAAACTTTCTCTGTTCTCTAAATTCTTAAAAATGCATAACTGTATCTCATTTGCTCGAGTTGCAGAGGACTTCATTCTCAGTATGCAGCCAGAGATTGGTTAATGTCAGCGTTTATTTATACAGCCATGGTTAATTACGCGACCGCAGCTAATTTCATGGCGCCACTGCCTGGTTATCCCGTGGAGCAGGTAAGATGATCATCTATGCCAAAGTGTGTCATCGAGTATTTTCTTCTCCATATCAGAATTTGAACCAGTTTTATTTTGCATCAGATGTGTAAGATCATCGACGGGTTCCCTCGAGGATCTAGCAATCTCGATCGTGCCTTTGCTGCTGCAAGCTTATACTACAACTATTCGGGTTCAGAAAAATGCTTTGAACTTGAACAACCAACTGATGATCATGGACTCGACGGTTGGGGATGGCAGGTAATTTTATAAATACGATTGGGATAAGAAGAGCATATTCCAATGGATAACTCAAACTGAACAGTTTGATGAAACTAAAAATTGATACAATGTGGTTTCAAATGGAAACAGGCATGCACGGAGATGGTAATGCCAATGAGCTGCTCGAACCAGAGCATGTTTCCACCGTATGATAATGACTATGAGGCATTCAAAGAACAATGCATGAGTAGATATGGAGTGAAGCCGCGACCCCATTGGATCACCACTGAGTTTGGTGGGAAGGTCAGTTTCTATTCTTGTCTCTCATTTCTTGCCCTCCGTTGGATCAGTTTCTTTAGCTATCAAGATTCAATATCAGCTTGTGTTGGTCATGTTTTGTAGAGAATAGAGACAGTGTTGAAGAGATTTGGAAGCAACATCATATTCTCCAATGGTATGCAGGATCCTTGGAGCCGTGGAGGGTAAGTAGTACTTCTCAGTGTTTGTAAATCATCGATATTACGGGTAATTGGATGTCATCATATTCATTTTGTCATCTAATTTCAGGGTTCTGAAGAACATTTCTAGCAGCATTATCGCGCTCGTGACCAAAAAAGGTAACATTTTTCTGTCGGATGTTGGGGTGTAAACATATAGATTGAGAAAAAAAATCGAAACTTGACAATGTTTTATTTCTGAAACAGGAGCACACCATGCGGATCTCAGAGCTGCTTCAAAAGGCGACCCGGAGTGGCTGAAAGAGCAGAGGAGGCAAGAAGTTGCCATTATAGAGAAATGGATCAGTGAGTATCACAGAGCTTTGAGAGAAGAAGAGTAAAGAAAGAAAGACCAATAGAAACCAAAAGTTTATTGCCCAACATCAACAAATAAAAACTTGTGCTGTGTTTTATGCTGTTTAGTTCCCTTTGCAACACATTTCCATGGTGGAAAGTAAAAAAAAACTCCACTCCGAATTTGATGTTTCATTGTGGGTGAATTCTTCAAAAATGAAAATAAAAAGCCAATATTGGAATAGAGTTTTCTCCAAGGAGTTCGGTGATTGATTTAGGGTATGCAGGGACAAATGCGTTCCCATGGTTTTGGAGCACCACTTTGTTAACCTCTGCGTCGGTTGATATTATGATTGGTGTCCCTATTATGTTCGTCTTGAACACCTTCCCGTACCTATATGATTACATGTAGAAAGATTTCCGTAAGAAACATACAAGTAACACATCCCAATTCAAAGAAAAATTATGGTCGGGTATTACATTTGGTATGAAAACTTTCCGCTAACTAGTCATATAATTTTTTTTATAGCCGAACTAGTCATATAAAATATTATCAACTTCTAGTTAGTGGTTTAAAGATGTGGATACAAAACTAATAATTTATTTTTTGGCATAAACATTTTTTAAAAACTAAAAAGGTAAAATGAGATGATACATTTTTAATGGTAAGAAAACAGTTTCGTTGTCTCTATTTGCTGCCTTTTATAATCCCTCCCCCCAGATATCCCGAGGTTATTTTCTCTCTCTCTTTTTAATGAAGAAACAAAAAAGAGTTGGCTAAATGCGTTTTTATTCAATCTACTTATTTCTTTCTTGTTTTAAACAATGCAAATCTACCAATACTATTAATTATACAAAACTCAGTCGACACTGCACTAATCCTTATTATATGCCAGTATTTGCATTCCGAACAGTAGACTAACGCGTCAGAAAAAGTTATCATTATACATCATTATCATACTTCAATATAAGATTATATATTGAAAAAAATAAAAAAACGAGAAGATGGAATAAAAATAAGGCAAACGATAAATCATTGGGAATTTTATTTTTATGTCAATCAATGAGAATTCAAGGACCCATCATGAAATTTTTATTAGTATACAGAAAATAATAATGAATAGCAGAAGACCGCCACAAAGATGTTTAGTTTATTATTATATAATGATAATAATAATAACATAGGAAAATAATACTCTATAGAAAACAGAAGAGATAAAGATGACACATGAAATGAAGTGAACTCAATCATGAAAAAAAGAAAAAAAAAACAAGATCCTCCGCTTAAACTCTTTTGCTGTTGTATATGGCCAAGAACATGAAGACAGGTTGGTTTTGTCAGCCTTTTTTTAATAATTAAAATTTTGTTTCTTCCAAGAGTTTTAATTTATCTATTCGCATCCCCAAAGGAGTTATTTGTATATAAAAAATTCTCATTATCGCTATATGAGTATATGACCCCTAATTTTTTTTTCCTTTGCCCAAAAAGAAGATAATTTGGTTGTAATTAAATGGAGTAATTTAGAGTGTTTTCGTTTGTAATTTAATTTAGAAAAGAACACAGAAGTTTGTTACTCTGCAGTTACTAAAAAGGAGGACAATGAATAAATCGGTGGAAATCGGGAAATTGATTTACGAGAACACAAAAATAAAGAACAAAAGAGATTCACCCCAAAAAAAAAAAGTAAAGAACAAAATAGAAGCTTCACTAGACTAAATTGATTATGAAGCATTTAATTTATTCATGATAACTGTAGTTTTGTGGTCGTGTAATATTGTATACCAAAATGTTTCATTCTCTCAAGGAATAAACAAAAAGATCACTGGATGGTGACCCCCAAAAAAAAAACAAAAAGATAATTGGACTAGTTAAGCAGATAACAAACACACACAAAAAAACAGCAGATGTAATTAAGGGTAAATTGAAGAAACTTTGAATAGTCTACGAAGAATTTTCTTTTTAGCATCGTGTTTAAAGAACTTTAACTCAACGCTCTTCTTTTTATAATTTCTGGTTGAAAGAATTAATAGAAAAAGACTTACAAAGACTTTCGTTTGTCCATGAAGGTAACAGGCCGAGAAGAATATCCACAAGCAATAAAGGTTAGGGTTTCTCCGATCACCGGCCATCCTAAGCTTCCCTTCGGAATCATTCCCTTCTTCTTCTCGTTCTCTTCTTGTTCGTCTCCGTCTCTTGTTTTCGAGTTTGTTAGACGAAACCAGAGCCATGAACGAAGAAGAATACCGGCCGTCAAAACCAAGAAACCGGCGACCCAATAATCCATGAAACAAGCCGGCGAAGAAAGATTTTCCGGCGACCGGAAAAGTCTTAATTTTTCCGGAGAATACATAAAGACACACCAAAAGAAGTTAACCTGATTTTCTGGCAGTTATAAATAACATGCCAAAGCACATGAAGCTATTACACATGTATTGTGAGGAGATAGTAGAGAATTAGGTTTCTCAAATCTCAAAAGCCATGCATGAAGAGAATAAATATTTGTAGAGCTAAAGCTATGGTGATGTCATTTTCAATGGGGGCGAAACAGAGGAATGAATGATATAAAATCCACTTTTCCCGTCTCTCACTATATACATATATATCTATCCCTATATTTTTTTGTCATAAAACATGTAAAACAGTTAAGTACTAAATATATATATTTTCAACCTAAAATAACAAAAAACAGTTAATTACTGGTATAAATTTCGATATTCACAATATGCGGGTATATTTATTAATATTTTGACTACAATAAAAATGTTGAATTATACTCTATATGTTAAAATTTGATATTCACGTATCTATCTAATAATATCACATTTACTTTTGGATATAAATGATATAATAATTACTAACTGTACGGTACAAATTGTTCTCAGAAACATGATATATTTAACAAATCATTTTATGGGAAATGAATGTACAGTTTTTCAAATAAACGGGTTCTTCTAGTCAAATACATGCACTTGTATTCCTATTTCAAAATTGCTTACTGTTACGTATTTAACTAGACCAACTAGCTTTATACTCCTTCGCAACATCTCTTCTTTTTTTTTTTTTGGACAACTCGTAACATCCCTTAGAGTTAGTTTGAAAAAAAAAACATCTCTTATAGTAGAAATATATAATTATTTTTATTATTTTGTTTCTTAAGGGAATCCTTACGAAGGTAATTAACTTGTACTCACAAAGGTTTATTTTTGTTCTGTCAACAAGATAGATTATATCGATCGGATTTTATAACGACTTCTATCGTTATTTTTAACTATATCTGTTATAATTATAAGAAAATAGTAAACACTTCAATATTCATTAACTGTTGGTATATAATTTTATTCTCTCTTTATTAACTAAACTAATGTAGATATAAACAAAAAATACGTTATGTAGATCCCGTCATGCATGAAATAACACGTATCAATTTATTATTAGATAAACAATTTATTTAATAAATCTCAGATTGTAGCTCATTTTCAAAATTAGAATATTATTAGTAGATAATTTTATTTTCTCTTTATTAATTAAACCAATGTAGAATAAATAAGTAAATTTTATCATTTAAGTACGTATATTTCTAACACATATCTATTTATTACTAGATAAATCATTTATTTAACAAATCTCAGATTGTGGCTCGTTTTCAAAATTAGAATATTATCTATATAATCTAAAATTAAAAATACTATGTGAAGTAAATAAAATTTGAATGTTACATAGTGTAGTTAATTAGTCTTAAACAAAATATGTGTTGGAGTGTTCCTGGTGATCCAAGGTGTTGTTCAATCGGTATCATTTTTTTAATTTTTGAACTTTACATTTCTGTATTTTCAATTGAGATTATGAATTTAATTTAATATTATTATCCAATATTTTTTATTGCATCTGATAATAATATCAATAGCGGAAGTATTTTTAGTCAAATGATTAAAAAACACCTATGTCATTTTTTTCCACCGGAGTTTGATTCCATTTTTTCCTCGCAATTTTTTTTTGTTTTTGTAGAAAATAGTACCAGTAAATTTCATTGAAAAATAAGTCACTTGAAGTTGTGAACATTAGTAAAGGTTTGTAAATATGTTTAAAAATTCGTACAAAAAAAAATAATTTGTAAATACATTTCTCAGACGTAAGCGTTCAATCATTATACATTTATACCCAAACCCAATCTGAGTCTCATGGGATACTACATTAATTATACCTATATATATTGCATATGAAATTTTGACGAACTATTTTATACTATATGTTTTATCATTAGAGATTTCGTACCAACTCATGAAATTTAACAAAATTTATCACACAGAGTTTTTTAAGGAATTTGTCACCAAATTTACTCATTTAAACGTTGGTTTTGAATTATTGCTTTAGTAAAAATATTTTAAAATTGATATCGTTAGTCAAATCGATATAATTGTAAGGTTGTAAATGTTAAAGGCAATGTAAAATAAAACAAGTTAAAAATAAATCCATTTTAAAAAAACTGCTAAAACGATTAAAAAATGAACAAAAAGATTGTAACACAACCCTCCCAAACTAATATCGAGTGTTTAATGTCTCATTTGTTGAGTAAAAATTTGCTAATTATTACTTTTGTATACATGCATAAAGATTATTATGTAATTTAAAGTGTAAGAAAATACTAAGGATTGCTAGTTCTATTAAAAAAGTATTAAAAGAAAGTTTAGAATTCGAGATATTTTGTGGTATTTACTAGAACGAGAAGACTACGAGGCCGTAATACACTAATACATGTATTGGTCTTCATTTCATCAAATATATAGATTTCGGTTCAAGAATTCTAATTTTTTTTTTTTAATACTCCTATAGATAAGAATTAAGTACACAAGAAACGAAAATTCTTCAAACATGGATTATCTTTAGTATAAAATATGGTTATTTGGTATCTAGAATTGCAACCGGCTGTTGCTTATTTACTGTCGGAATGCATCAGGAACTAAGATTCGTCGTATACATGTGGGTTGAGACATGAGTAACACTGATTCTCTTATAAAAAACATAGGATCCGAAGTTTTTAAAAATTTATTATAAATCTTAGTCGACGTTTATATCAATTGAAGAGAGCAAAGCAAATAAATGTTGTAAACTTGTAATGGCGGAATAAATGAGGGGACAGAAATTGGGAGCGGCTATTGCGCCACGCTTAGGCCGTTTTGTCTCGTCTCATTTTTAGATACTAGA